AGCCACTGTCATTTCACAATTTAAACTCTGATACTATTCCCTACAGATTTGGATTATATTTACAATCCTGGAATCACAGATGTTGGTGTGCTTCTTCCATGTGGGCTTAATTGACATCTCAATTAGAAGGCTGCTTATTTGCAAATAAATCTTTAAAACCCCAAATGCTATTCTTTCTGATAGCCCAGCATCATCTAATATCTCCACCATGCTTCACTATAGAACCCATATCCTGAATTATTGTTAATGGAAATTGTCCACAACATTTTAGAAACAGCTATCTCAAACAAGTTTATACAAACATACATAAAGCAGCATCTGAAACACTACAGATTCAACCCAATAGTAACAACTGGGTAATCAGATGTACTTTGTGGCAGGTATTTAGGTACATGCTATCATCACGTATGTCTTCACACTAGACTCCACTCTAGAAATGCTCTCCATATAGAGCAGAATCAGCAAAATGTATTGTAAAGGGTCAGATAGTACATATTTTTTCACTTTGTGCCCTATACATGGTCTACTTAATTCATAGATATGATGCTAGCATAACACTCAATTGCCAACTAATCAATAATCAAATCTACTGCTACAGCACCCAAGCATCTATAAGTAATATGTAAATGTGTGTATCTTTTTCCAATAGGCTGAGGGCTGGTTGCATAGTGGTTACAAGTTGGCCTGCGATCAGCAAAGTCAGCAATTTGAAACCACCAGCCACAACTCGGGAGAAAGATAGGGCCTTCTACTCTCCTTCACAGGTTTTGGTGTCAGAAGCTCACAAGGGCAGTTCTACCCTGTCCAACAGGGCAACCGTGAGTCAGCCTCAACTCGATGCTAGTGAGGAAGTGCTCTTTTTCCAGTAAAACTTTATGAACACTAAAGTTTGAAAATTAAATAATTCCATGTCACAAAATATTCTTTTTACTTTTTCAATATTTCAAAAATGCAAAATCTATTCCTAGCTCACACACCATGTAAAGAATATAGCAGGCTACATTAGACCCTTTAGCCATAGCCACTGACGCCCTGACGTAGAACACTGAATATTAACCTGCCATGCACTTTAGAATCACCTAGACAGCTGTTCTAAAGTATAATACTCAAACATCACACCCAAATGTACTAATTTAATTGGATTAAAATGGAATTTAATTTTCAAACCATCCCAGGTGATTCAATTGTACACCTCAAGTTGAGAATCACTGATCTAGAGGGAGATTACATACACACATAAAATTCAGACACAAAAACTTTCAGAGGCCAGTGATTAAGATTCAATGTATAACTTCCCAGTCTTAGAGAACCAAGTCACCTCAATATCCACAGTGGCTGTGCCAGTTCTGGCCATGAGGTCCACACTCCAGCTCGCAGAACAGAAGAGATTGAACAATAGTGTGTCCTCTTCTAAGAGTACCTTAGACGTTGCATATACACTCTCCCTTTCATTGCATCGATCAGGTCCTAGATCAGCAGTTCTCAACCTGTGGGTCGCAACCCCTTTGGGGGTCGAACAACCCTTGCACAGAGGTCGCCTAAGACCATTGAAAAACACATATTTCCGATGGTCTTAGGAACCGAGGCACCACTCCTCCATCCATCTCTAGGCAGGTCTTTCCACATGCAGTCATGCCCACATACGAGTATCTGGTTTGAAGACGGTTACCCATGCAACACCATGCTTCAAGATGAAATTTCACTTATTTGTAATTAGAAATAAATATTTCACAATATATAATGACATCTTGTTTTGTGATTAATCACTATGGTTTTATTATGTTCAATTTGTAACAATGAAAATGCATGCTGCACATCAGATATTTACATTATGATTCATAACAGTAGCAAAATTACAGTTATGAAGTAGCAATGAAAATAATTTTATGGTTGGGGGTCACCACAACATGAGGAACTGTATTAAAGGGTCACAGCACTAGGAAAGCCGAGAACCACTGTCCTAGATAGAGGCACTGTAGTCCTGTAGTGGTTACGCACTGGCCTGTGATCCACATGATCAACAGTTCAAATCACCAGAAAGTCCACAAGAAAAAGAGTGGGCTTTCTACTCCCATAAACAGTTAAACAGTCTCAGAAACGTACAGGGGTCACTCTGAGTCAGCACTGACTCGATTGCAATGAGTTGAGTTGAATTATTGAGATAGATGCACTAGGGCAATCCTAGATATCACAGTCTGGAAAGTGTAACTTTGATTCTATATAGCACCTATTCAGTTACAAATCACAGGTCATCACTATAGGAAAAGAGAAGAAAGTATAACAAGAAATAACTCTTTTGGCTTAGAAGGTTAAAATTTAATTCTAATAGGGTAGATCATTAGTATCTGTTGGGGAACTTGACACAGGAATTGTCAATAAAGCTTCTGAGCATATTTAGAGACAGTTAAACTTTCTTACGGACTTTCTCAATACTTTTATTAAAAATAACATTTCCAAATATTCTGTGCTACGTATAATTGGAAACTATTAGTTTCCCCAAAAGCAGCTTAACTTTCGGAATAGAAGTAGAACAGATAACAGAATCTAGACAAAAAATAATGCCTTTCAAACTCTACGTTTCTTTGTTTTGCTTTCTTGCTTCTTATGCAAAGGCCAGAGTGTTAAATCTGTGAATTCCTCTTTCTGGGCTCAATACCAGGTCTTCATGCTACAAAAGGCAACCAACTCGTCAGAGAAACATTTGGGAATCTCGATCTTGGAGCACGTACAAGTGGAAAGGGAAACCAAGAAGTAACCTGAGGGAATTCAAAGCAATCTATCTGCTAAGAGAACTGCACCAAAGAGAGATAGTGGTTGCTGCCAGAAACAAGTTTTGAGCAAATAAGTTGTGTGTGAGAAAGCTCTGGGGGTGGAATCATAGAAGGACAAGCTCATTAATGTCAATATCACTTACTTATAGGTCCATACATATGATGACTTTTCAAAAAGTTCATAGGAAAATTCCTACTATGAAAAAACCATGTGTGTATTACAAAAAAAATTTACACTAAAATAAATTCATACTAACCTATTATAACATGCCTGAACAAGACAGAGTTTGAAGCACTGTGCTTAAGACATCAGTTTGAAAAGACCCCCAACCAAAAAAGCATATATTCTGCTAAAATTAAAGCAAAATATCAAATTTAAGGTAAAGTTTGGGTGTAAGAAGGTAAAATTATTGATGCTTGATGAAAAATTAATGGTGACAATGACACACGAAAAATCAGCAGTTTCCAAATGGGTAATTCTCTTTAAGAATGGATAAGATGATTAGAAGAAAAAAAGGAATTAGTATCTTAAACAGATTATTAGACTTAGAGAGCTTTTGCCATGTGCTCAATATGTCAGAATGATGACATTTGCTCATAATGTGAGTGTTTTGACAAGGCTACTCAACATTTTACCAGAAAAATGCAAAGAAATCTTCCCTAGGAACCCTGGCAATGTTCCTACTAATTCTTCTCATCAAACAAGTGCAACCTCATGAATTCTTAGGGGAAATCATTACCATCTTGATTGGACTCTTCCTGACTTATGTTTGCTTCCAGACCTCAAAAGCTCTCTAAGGGGCCATCATTTTCCTTTAGGTTATAAAGTAAAAGAAGACTATATTAACATGATGAAATTCCCAGTATCTGCTATTCTTTGAGGATGAACTAAATGATTGAATCAGCGGTTACGAATGTGTCTTGAACTTGTTGGAGCTTATGTTGAAAAATAAAGCTCATTTTTTCATCTTTTTAAAGACTTTTTACCACAAATTGGGTGAAAGTATACAGAGCAGACCAATTTTCCATTCAATAATGTATATACATTTTGTTTCATGTCATCGATGCAATCCCCAAAATGTAACATCCTTTACCCCACCTCCTCCCTGTATTTTGTTCTCTAGTTCCTATTTCTCTTTCTCTCCTAAGCCTTCAGTGTTGACTAAATGCTGCCCTTTGATCTCAAAACGTTGCTATTCTAAAGTGTGTATACTTCCTTAATGATATTGTTCCAATTGCTGAGCTGAAAACTGAGCCATGAGGGAGAATTCATTTCCAGACCTGAAGGCTGACTAAAGGCCACAGTGTCAGGGATTCCACCCGTTTCTACCTCACTAAGAAGCCAAAACTCTTTATGATTTTGAATTTTGTTCCACATTTTTCTCCAGCACTACCCATGGAGTTTTATTCTTTGTGTCTTTTAATTCCATTCCCAATGAAGTCCCCTTATAACCTTGGTGATCCTTTCAGGTAAATGTTGGACAGCTAACCTAAATGTCAGCAGTTCAAACCCACTAGCCACTCCAAGGGAGACAGTTGACGTTGCTTCCATAAATAGTTACAGCCTCAGAAACCCCGTCTAGAGTTGCTATTAATCAGAATCAACTTGCTGACTGGATTTGTTTGGGTTTTCATGCATATGTGATTCTGGTAACAAAATGAATTCATTTAAATTAACAGTGAAAATTATATTTCTTATGTTTGTTATCTCGTTACAAAATAAACAAATTTATTTCCTTGAACAAAATTTTGTATATCAATTTAGAGTTTTGTATTTATATATTTATATATATCATAATATACACACACAGGAAAAAATTACTCTCTGGTTCCTTAGACCTCAGATCTCTAACTCAGAATGTGACCAGTATTGTTTAAAACCATATAAAAATAACATAGCAGATTCTATATGATATATGTTACTCTTTGCCCAAAGTGCAGGCTATATTTGAAGTAAAGAATATAATCATTATAAGAGTCCCAAATATGATATTTGAAACATTAAATTGTTACATTAAAATTTTGACTATACTATTGAATAATATTACAGTTTAATTCGCATTACTTCAGTGGAGCTCTTTCGACAATCATTAGCTACAAAGCTTAGTTAAAGGCAAATGAACTGAAATTAACACCAGAGTATTCTATTCCATGTGATTTTCATTGAAATGAATGTGTTCAATCCATGAGAGGAGTAAGAATTATTTTTTCCTTTTTTTTCCTTCTAAGGCAGCACACCTTTCTACTACCACATCAGCTTTAAAACCTGTAACATCGACTATGACAAGAAGTTTGAAAAACCGTATTCACAAGAATATATGGACCTGAATAAAAAGATAGTGTCTCTGGTAAGTTAAAGCTTCCTACACTTTCCCCTTTTCTATACGAAGCCTGAGCAATACTAGGATCCTAGCACTCACTGCTAAAGTAAAAAATAATAATAATTTTCAATTATTTCTCACCACAATTTTAGTTCTATATTAGGACAGACAGCCCTCCTGGAAAGACAGTTAGAAAGCATATTAGAGGAACACATTTCAAGAATATCTATTCATTAATTCAACCAATATTTAATAAGCTTCGACAACTTGACAAGTTCTGTATGAGATCTGAGAGATTTTATGATGAGAAAAATCCAGTAAGGTCCTTGATCCCATGGAGGTAATAATCTAGTGGGGAAAAAAGTCATATAATAATCAATAAAGCACCTACATTCAATTTAAAATTATAATGACAAAAATAAAGGATAAGCACAAAAATTGTGAGAGCATATAAAGAGCACATAACACTTTTCCTGATGTAACTGAAATATGGAACTAAACTAGTTCTCATCAAGGTAATTCTCCCCCCTGACAACCTCAGGTATGTCAGAGTAGAACTGGCCTTCACGAGGCTTTGAGCGGATGATTTTTCTTAAGTAGATCATCAGAAATTTATGTCAAGGTGCCCTTGGGTAGAGTCAAAGCACAATCTTTCTGCCAATAGCCAAGGGATTCTTATACGAAAGATGAAAATGGGCTAATTAAGCAAATATTTAGATATAGATTACAATGGCAATCAACTATAAGGTATTCCCTGGAATAATAATAATAAAGGACTCAGCCCAAAGTGCCTTGCAGTCCTTCAGAGGGTAGGCTGTGAAAAATCCCCATTGTAGATTATTCTTTGATTTGCATTAACATTTATTTGATTAAGTATCCAACAAAGACTCTTGACAGCCCCTGCAACATCAGCTCTCACTATCACATGCCTACTAAAATTTACTCCGGCAACTCTTCCTACCAAACCAAAGTCTACCAACAGCAGTGATAATAACATCATTCATCTCCCATTTCCCCAGATTCCTGACAGGGCACTTCACACGTAGCTCTACCTGAGTGAGTGGCTTAGAGGTCTTGGCATGCTTCGCTACCTTTAAAGCATTAAAGATAGAAAATAGAGACATAAAACAACTACTTTGAGAGTAACTACATGATCAAAGTGAAGTGGAAAGGAAATAAGCTAGCACAATTCTAAAAAATCGGCCATTGAATTCTTATTCAGTTCTAACTTTAGTCATTTACTAATGAGTAGCCTTCAGCAAGTCTCTTACTCTCCCTATATTTCTGTTTCGTCATCTTATAGTAGTCACAGTTATTACATAAGATAAACCATGCCCAGCTCTTGACAGAAATCCCACTACTCAATACACTCTAAAACAATGATAATCCTCTACTAGAAAACAAATAAATAAAGTACCTAAAATAAGAGCACCATTAATATTCTAAATAAACTATAAATACACCGAAGATACAATAGCCAGAAACCTGTCAGAAAAGAAAAACAAAAATTTTCACTGAAATGAGCAATGGAAAAGTGTTAAGATTCCCTCACAAAGGCGGAAAACAGGATGCCTGGAAAAACAAGGAAAAGTTCCAGGTTTCATAGGTTCCAGTGTATTTAAGTTAATATTTGACTTTAAAATAGATCCAAATTTACCCACAGTAAAAAACAAAAACAAACCAAAAAAAACCTTTCTACTGTGAATTCAGTGAAAAACAATTGTCCAGGGTTTACTTCAAAACATTAATGTTCTAAAGTTATCAGTTTAAAGCTGTTGATCTTATTTATGATATCTTGCCTCAGGTTCCTTTAGCAACCTACATCCCCAGTTTCTAACTCACTTGTATTAAAACAGTCAACAGGATGCTTCTCATACGTTTTCATTTACAGGCATCAGATTGCCTGCTTTTACAGGCCTTTCTTACTGTGTTCACTGAAGGCAATGATACTGCAGACATTATAGTTATTAGCAGATGCATACCATTCCTAAGCACAACACTGGTGATAATAACATGCAACAAATGGAATTCTGAATCTTTAGTCAAACTTACCTGGTTATTTCTATAATACCTACAGCCCATTTTCCTTTTTCTGGTTTCTATAGAAGAGTTCTTGTGGTGATTCACACTGTGAGGAATGGAACTGGATAGAGAAGCTGCTTTACTATGAACGACACTTTTAATTATGGAAGGTAGACTTTAATAGGAGGCATTTTCATTAAGTCCATTCTGACTTGCCCCGGTGGACAGCCGAATGGAGAAGTGCCTGGTGCTGGGTTTAAGCTCATTGCCGTCACAGGGTCAGTCCATCTCGTCACTTACTTAAAGTCACCCTGAAAATATGCTGTCACTCTCCTATGTAATTTATTATCTTGTAATTAGTGAGTTATTATTCACATTTCAAAGACTAGGAAGGCAGCATAAAAATTACTGACTCGCCAGCTTTCATTACTACTATTGGACAATTAGAAGAAGTAAATACTAGATGCTCAGGATAGCTACAGTCATGGAGTGGGAGACAGGGTAGGGATTATTATAAACTACAGAAGGGATCATGGCGCTCACTTTTCAGCAACTTTAACAAACACGTGCTGTCTCCTTTACATCCACTTATCATATGGAAGTGACATTTTCTGTCTTAATTTGCAATCTTTGTCACATAATTAACAATAAAACTGAAGTGTAAAACCACCACCAATACAGAGTTTCCCTGTGTTTGAGCTGATTTAAAAGAGAGAATACTAAAGACCTGAAAGTTACAAACACATTAATTATTAAATAATATGTTAAATCAATGAATAATATTACCATATTCAAATCTGATTTGTTTAAGACAAGAAATTCTTCAGAAAAGTAGCTATTTTTACTTTTGGGGATCTTTCCCCTTCCTCTTACGAACTTTTACTTTAATATGAAATTTTTTCAAAATAACATTCCCAAGTATTTTTAAAGTACTTTCTCAATATAACTAAACATGTGTGCTTTAAGTCCTTTTTGTTAAAATATGTATTGCTGATATTTTAAGGCTCCTATATTTGATAAGTATTGGAATGACCAATTTCTTATTCATAAAGGTGAATTTTAACATCATAAGTGATCATCATTTGGCTATTAATAATTCCATCCTGGGCTTCATCATTTTCAAAATCTTCCAGCAACATAATTCAGAGTCTTCTTCAACTCATCTGACGAGCTAGCCACTTGCGTGACATTTTGTTCATTTTATTGCAGAGGCCAGGGAGGGTAGCATGGGGTGAGGAACCTGGAAGAAGACCAATTTAAGGTCACCTTAATGCATGAAAAGCAGTATTTGGAATTGTGGTTTTTGTCTTTTTGCCTCTGTTTGAATTTTCAATGGTGTTCTTTATTTATTCGGAAAGAATTGTCTCTGAAATGCCTGCCCAACCATTCTAAATGGGTTCCTCAGTTAGCATCTGATTTCAGATCAAATATCTTACAACCCAGGAAATTGCAACTCCCAGAATGCAGCAATATGCTTCCCACTTTCTTTTGCTGATTACTATTTGCTATCATTCTTCTTTCCAGTCCCTTCTTGCCTTTAAGATTTATATCTGGAAAACTGTTGCCCTTTGGATCTCCCAAGATTGATTGTTCAAAGAAACACATTGATGTTACAGTACATCTTATCAGAATACTTATCTTTTGGATGAAAATTTAGCCATGGAATTGAGCTCGGTTTCGAGCCTGAAGGGTATCTAAAGTCAATAGTCTGTGGATTTCCACGATCAGACCAATAAGTGTAATAGTTTTGTTTTTATGCTTGTGAGTTTGTTTCACATTTTCCTCCCACTAATCCAGCATTTCCTACTGTGATCCCTCTCAGAGTAGTCAGAAAGGGAATGTGGGTACCATTTAGTTCTTCTGGTCTCAAAGTTCTGGAGACTGGGGTTCACGTGATCCATTAGCCTTCGGACTAATTATTTCCTTGAATTTGTTTTTCTTCACTCGTCTTTGCTCTAGACAGGAAGAGCTCAATAATGTTACCTTATATGACCACTCACGAGTTTTTAGACTCACAAAGTTAAAGGTAGGAAAATAAATATCATGTATTATGTTATGTTAGCTGGCCTTGGTGTTCCCCAAGATGATAGTGGTGAGTATCCACACGCAGTGATTTCTCTATCAAAACATTTATTCATAGCCAAGAGGTTTTCCTAACTTTGTCCCCTTGTATGCTGTATTATGGTCATGAATACATTTATTGTGTTGTTGTTAGGTACAAGCAATTCAGTTTCGACTCACAGCGACCCTGTGTACAGCAGAACAGAACATGGCCTGGTTCTGCATTATCCTATTCTGTTTGAGCCCATTGGTGTCGCCACACAATCAGTTCATTTCCTTAAGGGGCATTCTATTTGGGGGCTGCTCTTCCAATTTATCAAGCGCGTTGTCCTTCTCCAAGGAGTGGTCTCTGCTGAAAACATGTTCAAAGTTCATGAGCTAAAGTCTCACCATACTCACTTCTAAAGAGCATTCTGACTGTGCTTTTCTCCAAGGTAGATTTGTTTGTTCTTTTTTCAGGCCTTGATACTTCAATATTCTTCACCAGCACCATATTTCAAACACATGGATTCTTCCTCTGCCTTATTCCATGTTCAATTGTCACATGCATATCAAGTGATTGAAAATGCCATGGCTTGGACCGGGTCCACTCTAATCCTCAAAGCAACATCCTTGCTTTTAAAGAGGTCTTGAACAACAGTTCCCCAGTGTAAGGTGTCGTCTGATCCTGACCGCTGCCTCCATGAGCCTTGATTGTGGATCTGCACAAGATCCAATTCTTGACAACTTCACCCTTTTCTTTGTGTATCATGATGTTACTTACTGGTTCAACTGTGAGGATTTTTGTTTTCTTTACACTGATCTGTAATCCATACTAAAGATTGTAGTCATTGATCTTCATCAGTAAGGGCTTTACGTCCTCCTTACTTTCAGCAAGGAAGACTGTATCAGCTGCCTACCATTGGTTGTGAATTAACCTCACTCCAATTCTGATGCTGAATTCT